AGAAAGAAAGAAAGAAAGAAAGAAGAGAGAGAGAGAAAACAGACCTTGAGACTTTTTTTTCTCAAAATAACTTGAAGGTCATGAGGGTGAGTACATGGCAGGATTAAAAGTTTTGGGTAACTACCCCTTAAAGGGATAATTTACCAAAAATATGGCAAATCTATCATCATTTACTCACCCAAACCTCATTCCAAGCCTCCTCTGCTGAACACAAGAATGTGAAGTTTTGAAGAATGTGGGTTACCAAACAGTTGCTGGTAGCCATTGTCCATTGTCCATAGTAGGGGGGAAAATACTATGCAAGTCAATGGCTACCAGCAACTGTTTGGATACACACATTATTCAAAATATCTTTTGTGTTTTGCAGAAGAGGGTGAGTAAATGATGAAAGGAATTTCATTTTTGGGTAAACTATCACTAACCCTTCTTTATCCAAAAACCAAAATTCTGTCATCAATTACTCACACTTGTGAGTCATGCTCTTCCAAACCTTCATTCATTTCTTTCTTCCTACATAATTGTCTGAAATGCAACAAAACTGAATGCAGCCATCAAGCTAGAACATAACTTTTTTTTTTTTGAAAGACTAATTAGTCGAATCCTCACAAAAAAACTCTCATATGACTTCATTGTCCTTCTTAGAGCTTGACAGCTGTCCTACCCCACCCTCTGTCCTAGCATTAGCCTGGGGAATTGTAGCAAAACTCCTTGTGTTTTAACAAAAAAATCTGTAGTGTTTACTGCAAAACAAAACCTTTCTAGTGAAGCCCTTTCTGGGTAAAAATGTAGCTCTTTCAAACAAAAACACTGTCCTCCTCCATCTCCCCATGTATCTTACTTGAGCAGCAGTTTGCTGTACACTGTAAATGCAGCTAAAAATACCCCACTGAAAGACAAAGAATCATGCATTTAAAAGTAGAGCAGCACATCTAGATGCAGAGATTGATAAAGAATCACTTTAACAGTAGAGACTACTGATTTTTACCACTGGCTTAGGTGGGTAAGCACACGCAGATGATGTTCAGAATGAAATATATCATGCTGCTTGTAGTATATACACTGGTTATTTTCCTTACTATGTGAAACTGTATTCAGTAAGCAACAATACATATCAGTAATATGGTACATTGCAGTCACATGACCTCATTGTTACATGCTTAATTCAGTGAATGTATCAGAGACTGGCCAGTTGCTGTAAACGGTCTTAACTCTGGTTCTAGTGCTGCAGTCATCATTAATGAAAACTAAAACAACAATTAATTGTAAACATTTTCATTATCGAAATAAAAATTAAAACTAGATACCTGGTACAGTATATTATAAAACTAAGTAGGTTCAAGTTTCGAGTTTAATTTATTTATATAGCACCATTAACAACAGCAGCAGCTGACCAATGTGCTTTACAGCATCAGATGAAAGTAATAGGAAATCACAAATAAATTCACAACTAAAAAACAAAGCCAATTATATCAACAATTAAATGATATAACAAAATGTAGCAACCTACATGCTATATGAAAATGCCAAAAGATAAAAATAACACTGGATTGTGCTGAGAAATTTGATGGCATTAAACATTTTGAAATGAAGTCAGATACTGTAGCAATTAAATACTAAAATGAAAAATGAAAAAGCTAATATAATGTAAATTAAACAAAACTGAAAATAAAATAAAAAAATAAAATTGAAAACGACATTAACTCTGATCAAATATTGACTCGGCAAAGAGATGTTAAAAATCATGGCTGATGATTACGTCATTGCAATGCATTGTGGGATGCCTTGCAGTAAGTACATTCTGAATAAAGCCACATCCTCAGCCAAAAGAAGACACCGGGACCACTGGATTAAAAAACATACAACCAAAAGTGTTTATTAGTTTTGTCCTGTCTGGAACCTAGGAGCACATCTCTCAGGTCAAAGGTCATAGCGCTTCCCTGGGTCATGGGTCCCAGCCGGTGTGGGGTCAGACAGGGAGGAGATAAGGTGGGTGGGAGCAGGTCACACAGGATGGCACAGAGTGAGACACACGCACACACACAAGCAAATTCATTTCTTAAACAACTCACTACAAATCTGTATTAGTCTGTTGTAATACACCACCACATAAAACAAGTGATGCGGTGAAGTTCAAACAGCCAAAGAAAGCGGCAGAGAAGATGAGAAGTTCATCTGTCAATATCACGTGTGTGTGTACAGTATGATATCATACGCACTGTAAATATAAAGACAGTGAAACCGAATAGTACAAAGTATGTAGAGATATAGAGAATTTCAATGAAAAGACTGAACATAACATTAACTGTAAAGGAGAAATAAAAAAAGACAAACCAGGAACAAAAATAACATTTAACATAACTGCAGTTAGAGGGTAAAAAAAAAAAATCCATGAAATAAATGTCATGGACAATTTCATCAATTTCATTATTGTTCATGAAAAAAGGGAGTCAGAGAGAAAGAGATGTAGTGTGAAATAATAAACAACTGGAACAAAAACAATCCAGAAAAGTAGACATGTAGTAGATAACAGAAGCAGCTTAGTCACGTTTCCCGCCATTCTTCTGTCTCCATTTATTAACCACACGCAGTTTCTTGCTCTTACTATTCCATAACGTCAACCGTCATCCATGACTAAGGAACATTTTAGAAAAATAAAGCGAGAAAATGCCACAGAACCAACAGTATCATAATTTACCTTGGTCCAAGTCCCTGCTGGAAAAGGCTGGAGACTTGTCAAGATGCATAACTCATTTCAGTAGAATGTCTGATGTTCCACTGTTTATTAAGCAAAATTCCCATTTCAACACCTTTCTCCTTTAATTCTTGGTGCAAAGTACAAGTGGTTGGTCAGGATCGCCCGAAACTTCTCTGCCTGTGCTTTCACGACGGCTCAAAAATGACAATCCAGCCTCACGGGACTTTCACAGCTTGAACCAAAACAACCTTCATGTTCATTTATCATGTAAACACTTTGTCGACAGCTTTTCTCATTTTGCTGATTGACTTCCATAGCTATTTTCCCTCATCTCAGAACTTTTCACAACCCAAAGTGCTAATACCTGATATTAAAGGCTCAGAACGATACAAACGCGTGTAAACAAAAACTACCCCAGATCTGCTAACCGGTCACAACCAGCATTTCTCAAATGTCCCAGTATTGCCTGTGCTGAATGCCCCATTTCCTATAAAATCCTCACTTTTAGGTTAAAGATAGCTTACAAAAATATTGTTTTAAGAAGACGAGCAACGCAAGGTGGCCAGTTTCCCACCCTCGACCTCAGCATCCAATCATCTCCACTCAATCCCATACAAAAACAACCACAAAGCAAATGGTGAGAACTGGCGAGAACGAGTATAAACCAGTTGCCAATTCCTCAGTTACCATTTATGTAAATTTGGTTTATTATCGTCGGTCAAACAAAGACGCCACAGCACTTCGACACTCTGGAAGAAGTCTCTTGCAAGCAAAGTTGGATTCATGTCCTTCATTACCCAAGATCTTCCCTCCTCCTCTCAGAGTGTTTGGAACAAGACTTTGAATCTCAATATGATGTTCCACCCGACTGGAAACAGTAGAGCCGAGCCTGGAAAAATACACGGGTCCGTGAAATACAGAAGAACAGGATCAAGTGAAATGGAAAGATAAAGACGGACCCATCTAATCGAACGTCCTGAGACATCCTGGTCCAGCGGATAAGGCCTCCTGCTTCATGACGCCGCAAGAACGTTAATCATTTGTTCTGAGCTTAGCAGACATCTCTTGTTCCCAATAGAAACTGATAAAGCTGTTCACTAAATGAGCAAACAAGAACCTTAATGGCTCAACGAGAAGAAAACATCCCACGAAAACCAAGTCAAGGTGGCGTTACTTTCAAAATGAAAATGACAAAATCATACAAAACATGTTAATGTAACAGACAATTAAAACAGTCTAGACATGTGCAACTATCCCAGTAATACTGAAATAAAATAATAAAATAAAACCACATTAAAGCAAAACATAAAACATAAAATAGCAGTGGGCCACTGATGCTGCACAAAACACAAGCGCACAAGTGCCTTATCTCCTGCTCCAAATCCCACCATTCCATTGGAAAACCACTGGTAGACTGGGACAAAAAAACTAAATATAATGGGACTAAATACAAGTTTGAAGATGTAAACCAACTGACGTCTGCGCCCACTAACATTCACAGCTTGAAAAGTTGTTTATGTAGGAGTGTGTCCTCAAAGACGACTCGTACTGTGAACCCAGAAGCGAACAAACGATTATTTTACCGTTTGACTGAACTTGTGTAAACCGGTGTGCTTATTGCAGATGTTTTGAAGCTGTATGAGTCTTACCATAAAGGAGTGACTTCAAACATCTTGTTGTTCCTGCTTGATGAGCTCTTCCATTCTCAATATTTTCTTCCCACACACCCTTGTTTTGAACATCTTAGTTGCCTTCTAGCAAAACAGACATGTTTGTGTGTGTGTTTGTGTTGATATGAGCTAAAAAGACGGTTGGAGAATCCATAAAAGAGCACAGAGGTTGAATAGAAAAAACTGAAGGAGACTTTCAGAAGATAAAGAGTTTCTCTTCATCTGGAATTCATGGAGTATCGGAGCCCTTTCGGAGTTGTGTTTTAATAAATGAGGGACTTCCATTTGCTGCAGTTGAAACCTGTTTGTGGAAAATCTTGTGTCATGCTTGCATTAGCCTTAACTCAAGTGTCTGAACGTCTTGTGTGAGTGTTTGAGGATCGATCTGCAAAACCGGAGAGATTCCTGCGTGTGTTTCGTCAAAGAAGGAGGAGCGCTGATTAGATTTACAACCAGTTAATACATAAAACTCAAGCAACAAACAAGGTAAAGAAGGTGTAAACAAACTCCAGATGTCCATGAAGAGTCCTTCAAGAAGAGCCCAAGAAGATTCCAAGTTCCTCGCTTGCTGGGAATCGGATGGAAGATGCAGGAAGTGTAAATAAAATGTAAAAGGAAGAAGGAATCAGGTTAAGGCAGTGGTGCTCAAGGAGTTTGCTGTGGGGTTCAGGCTGGGTGATGGCAGTGGAAAAGCTCCAACGCACACAAAACACGAGTCATTTGCTCTTTTATTCGTCCCTGGCCTCTCCTCGTTCCCCAGCGATCTTCATATTCCTCTGCTCTCCTGTCATCCAGCCGTGTTTGATTCGCCCTGGTTTCACTCATTCAAAGGACATTAGATTCGCTGGGACCTGAAATGGAAAAAGAGAAAGTGACAATTAGAAAACCTCAAAGGGATATGTATGATTTCACAAGATCCTGTACTGATATCTACTAGCCATCTATTTCGGATGGTGAGCACTCTAGAGAAAGTTTGAAGAAAAAGTTCCATGAGGTCCAGTCACTCAATTCCCATCCCAGCAAAAGTCCAAACAATCAAAGATCTTAAAATATTTTACAAATGCAAAAAAAGTTGTTTATGATAATAATTAATGCACGATAAGTTATTCACAGTTTGAGTGGAATCAAAATATGCACCAACTAGTGTCTGCAAATATAAAAATTAAAAAATAAAATACTTTTTTATTGTAAAATGTAAATAATACATATTAATAATACATTTTAAAGGTGCAGTAGGAGATCTTGGAAAATGCTAACTTTAGCCTGATAGCACTGAAAGCGAACGTCCCACCCTCCCTGCAATCGCCGTCCAAAGCCACGCCCCCTGAACACATTTACGCTCACAGACCAGAGACAACATTACTACAATAGGCTACATCAG